CCCGGCATTTTGCTGATTTACCGTGAACATAGTCTCTGCGTGACCTGAGCAAGTCTAGCAACGAGTATTTATCCAAAAACGCCGATTTTAAAAAAAATTCTGAATGAGTGCATTATACATCGAGCAAACAGGGATGTGTCCCTCTTGAATATTTTTCGTTTTAGGGGAAGGATGTGGTTCTGTGTTATTTGATTGGGTTTTTTTTTTTTGTAGCTACTAGTCAAAATGGAGCGTCGTCCTTTTGTTAATACCTTCCTGATCAGCATCATACTCAGAATTAGCATTTTTTAAATCAAGATAGCCCCAAAGATGTTCTCCCCATCCTTTCACCTTTTCTGCCTTCCCTGAGCATGCAGGCACCTACTAGAAAGGCATCCTTTTGTCGGTGGTACGCAAGCTGTGAGGCGCCTCGACAGGAAGTGAAAAAGATAACCATTTTATAGCAAAAAGATGTTGTAGGTGGCTATTTCCTCTCGGTAATTTTGTTTAGATATCTAGGGTTTCCCCTAGTAAAATACGATGTGAAGAGTTAACACAGCTGACAGCATGTAAAGATCTAATGGCAAAAAAAAAATATTTTTTTTTTTTAATAAACACTTGGAAGAAAGAAGTTGAATTTTTTAAAAGCCAAAGAGGGAATAGTTGAGACAAAGGATGTCATTGTTAGAGAATCAGCATCCTGAATTAGAGGGTTTTCCAATAAGCATCTGAGATTATTAGAATGGTTCAGAAGGAAGAAGTCATATTTGACAGTTCTGATGTCATCTTGTTTTACCTGCTATAGCAAAAATTATCTTTAATAGGGCTGGGGTCCAGAGCCTTTGGGCACTTTCTACACTGTCATTTAGAAAAAGGAAAGTTAAAAGGCATTTATCATTTTCTCGTTACAAAGGGATGTGGAAGCTTTTTTGTTGGTGTTTATTGTTTAATATTCTTACTATCAGACCTGTATACAAAAAAAAAGTTAAGCTTCAACCTTTAGTGTGGTCCTTTAGGTAGCAATAAATCACTGATTTGTAAAATATTTGGTATATTGGTTGTGACAGCAGTGTTGTGCTTTGACTAGACTCAGTAAGGTGTGAGGCAGAGGGTAGAAGCCATTATTTTTGCCCAATTTCCCAAGCTGGTTTTGCAACACAGATTTTGTACCACCTGTGTGTGCTTTTAAATCAAGAGATGTCTTGGAATGATAACATTTTCTTCCTCTGTGAGTTGTACCAGCAAGATATAAATAACTATAATAATGGAAGGTGCCTTTATAGTGCTGTTGCATTTCTGAGAGGAGGGGCCTGTGTCACTTCAGCTTGTGTTGCTTTGGGTTATGTTCGACCTCTGAGCAGAGTAAGGTGCATATGGGAGTACCCTGGCCACAGAGTTCATTGTGTGGGAGAGCAAAGTATCAAGAAATAACTGTTAAATCAGTAAACCCACAATAATTAGGTTGAATTTGGATAATTAAACTAGAATTGATATAATTAAACTGGAAGAATATTCAATTCAGTAAATCTTTCAAGCCTCAACTGTGTACTATCAAGTAGTATTGTCAAACCAGTACTTTTATAATAATATCTTTTCTGTATGACAAAGAAGGAATGCTTTGTCAGAGTGATTTCTGATACGTTAAGATATGTCATACTTAAAACCATGATTGAAATTAAATCTCTTGCCAAGTGCCAGAAATATTACACAAAAATTGGAGAATATCTTTAGAAAAATCAGATGTGATTTTAACTTTAGGCTCGTCTTTGAAATTTACTGTTTATGCTGCAGTAGGACTTTTCATGTATCTGTCTGCAAGCAATCTTTAAGGAAGAGGTGACTAGAAGGAAGTTCTTTCAACACATAGTGTAGCAGAGAGGCAGGCAATGGCAGCTCAGAGGACTAAAGTGTTAGAGATGGATTTTCTTATTGGTGTAGGACAAACAGTAAGTTACTTAGTGGCCTGTAAAATCGCTCTAATGTTATTTAGGGTGTGTGTTTGAGAGTTGCATCAATGGAAAGAGTCAAGCACAGAGACCTGATAAGAATATTAGTATGCATTTCAAAACTTGTCATGTGAGCTGTTTGTGAGCTTCCTCATTCTTTGTGTTTGAAAGAACACTTATACGTACAAGTTCTTACTGTTTGATGACTCAGTAGGAAGTGAAAGAGTTGGTATAAGCCACAATGAAATGGAGAAGAAACTATATATGGTAACACTCTTACATATATGGTCTTGTACACAGGCAAGCTAAATGGCTATTCTTAAAACATTCTGAATTTATAGCAAATGCGTGCAAAAGGGGATGATGAAGTCTTGGCTTCCTTAGAGATGTGTGTATTCATTGAGTGTTGGTGTTATTGTTCAATATATGGTGTATACTAAGCATTGTACTGAAGTTATTTTACAGTTGTTCCAAGGAGTGTGCACCCTAAGAGATGGAAGAGGAACAAGCATATTATACTTAAATTTTGCTAGAGAGTTTCAAATTGAGAATGGCAGGAACAGTGAGTATTTAATGTCTGGCACTAGAAAAGAGAAGCTGATTATATTCCAGACTACTGCAGTTCATAATGTTTAACTGAAGATTTTGCAGTTTCTCCTGTAAAGGATGGGAGGAAGAAGTATCTTCTGATTCTTGTACCCCTTCAAAAATCTAAAATTGTCCAGAATCTATTATTATATACACCTGTGTTTCTTACCTGTTGGTAGTTTTACCAAGTCTGGTTCTTCAGCTATAATATCCAATGTTATGTCTTCACAAACCTACCAAGCCAGCTGAATATTCAGTGTTGTCAGGGAGAGTACTATGGTGGGGATGCTCTCATTGATGGGGAAGCTGATGTACAAGGCTGACTTGTTCTCATCTTCACCAAATTTTCATGTAGTCTGGAAGGGAAAATTTCAAATTTGAAGTGGAGAAGGGAATTAAAATTCTACTCCTTCTGTCTACTGCTGAGTTTGCTAACCTTAAAAATGCTGGTTTTTAAGGCTCTCTGTTCTGGCCTAGAAGAGATAGGGAACAGACTGTGAATGTCCAAGATTAATCTTGCTCATTGTATTTCACATAGTTTAAATCTGGTTTTGATTGTGGTTTTGGCTGAATGGAGAAATGACAATTTGTTTTTAAAATCTAGGAATTTTCAGCACTGTTAACTTCCCAGGAAGGTGTGTCAAGGTCTTAACACAGAAAGGGAGTGGAAATTACTATTATGGTTTAGATAGTAAGAACTTAGAGAAGTATTTTTGTAGGTCAGCATAGTTGTATGTGATTTTGAGAGGTATTTCTAAGGTTGTCCAAAAGGTGCTTACTGATTTTGTGCAGTAGTTGTTTTGGATGCATATCTCAGTGGTTGCTATAGAAATCACAGGATTTATTTGCCCAGTCAGCAGGATTTAAAAGTGTGGGTAGCAAAGCTTCTTGAGGGATGCTCCAGTAGTCTGAATTGTAGAGATTCACTTAGATGTTACCGGTGGTGTTACTTCTGTTGATCTGGTGGGGAAGCTGCTTCATGCCAGGGAAAGAAAAGGAGGAAAAGCTGTAGGCAGATGGATGAGCGTAAAGGTGCATGGGCTACCTGGAGGTGCTTATGGTTGTACTTGAAACAGTTCATGGAAGCCTGAGCTGGAGGATGGGATCGTATGGGATGTTTTATAGAACTAACTTCTAGCTTCACCAGGTCCTGCACAATGAAATTTATAACAAGCATACCTAAATGTTGTTGTAACAACAAAAATCATGTGATTGCCCTGATTGCAGTAATTTGCTAAGTCTGGAAGGCAGCTTGTTTCATTTTTTGAAATTTAGACTTGGCTCAGTCCTTCAAAATGTGTTTATATGTATGTTTCTTCTGGTATAAAACTTCTGGTAGTCTCCTGGTGTATTCAGGTAGTGTGATCCAGAAATGCTTGTGGCTACTCTTTGCTTTCTCATAGCAGCACTGCATTCTTGAATACACAGATAAGATCTGCATAACTCCTAGGTACTCCTAGCCTTAATATAAGCAAGAGTTGATAAGTACTTGCCTTTTCGGAGAACTGGATTGAAGTAGCATGAGGGAAATAAGTTGAATACACAGTGTCATTCTTCAGGTATTCCAAACAGCTCTGCCTTTGGACACAGCAATCACTGAATGGGTGACAGAAAGTGGGGTCACAAAAAGCAAAGAAAAATTCCTTTCCCCCCTGTATTATCCCAACTTTAATTAAAATATCTCTTGGCTCTTTCCCTAACTGGCTTTATAAATTTCTTTCCAAATCCGGTGCCCTTTTTACTGCAGTAAGGCAAATAATTTAGAGCAACAGAAAGTGACTTTTTATGTTACTGTTAGTGTAATGGCAGAATTCCCCTCAGCAGCAATTAGCTGTAGTTTTTCCTGTGATAATTGTTTCAGTGGCAGTCTTCAGACCTCACTTCAGAAAACTCAGTGAACGTTTTGGAAATTCTAGCAGATGTCTTTTAATACAAGCTGAAATGGATAATTAAGCTTTGGAACAGGGTCCCAAAGAGGCTGTAAATGTCCTTGGAGGCTTCCAACACCCAACTAACTGGTCGAAGCCTGAAGTAACCTGGTGTGAATTCAGTGTTGAATACTTTGAGCCAAAGGTTGGACAAGACGGCTCCTGAGGTTCCCTCCAACCGGAATGATTCCGTGATGCAGTGTTACCACTGTTACACCTAGATAGTTGAGTGA